GTTTGTGAAGCGTAGCCCCTCTGTTTCTGTAAGCCCTTCAGGGGCTGGGAATGGCTGACAATGCCCACCATTCTTAGTGCTTTACTGCCCCAGATGACTGTGTCAGTGGCCCCCAGGCTGGTGACAGAGTCCCGTGACCAGCACTAAACCCCAGCCCCAACACCAGCCGCAGCCCAGGCCAAGTTCTAGACCCGTATTTCTACGCATATCCGAATCTGTAGGACTCACGGGGATGATGGGAAATCTCTCCCATGCCACTTGTCAGTCACCTTTATAGGACGGGATCCTAATCCGACTCTCCTCACATCTATGATGCATCCACTTTACGTTTAAAACTCCATGCATCTGCATTAAAACCACCCGACTAATGTTGTACACATCCGCCTGTTGCGATGGTCTGACCCTTTAAGGGGTATGGAAACGGCGGAGGCTGTCCTCTGCTGTCTGGGTGCATTGGCATCTGGACCAGGGTCTGGAGACCAAGTCAGTGCCTGGAGCTCTTTTTCCTGGACATCCAACTTTTCCTGAGCTGCTTACTGTGTGTCCTGTGGAGAGGTGCTTTATCCTGCTCAGAGAGAATGGGACGTACGTTTAAAGGAACAACCACACTTAATGGTCAGAAAGAGGAGATTCTGACAAAATGGTGAACGTCAATAGTTTCCATGTTTTGGCTGATGTGTAAATGATCCAAGTTACAGATGAAAGATTTTTTGAGACACAGCTCTGCTTAAAAAAAAAAATTTTTTTAATATATAAGGATATATAAGTATATACGGTTTGTTTTACAATTTACACGTCAGCAAGTAGGAGGGGGTCAGAACAGCAGGACATCAGAGGGTGCAGGAAGGATCTGTGTGGAAGTCCGTATACCCTCCAATTTGTTGTGGTGTGCGCTTGAAGATGAAAATGGAAGCTGAATTTGAGGAAAGGCTGTGTGAAGATGTCCAGAGCAAGCTGCTACTGTGAAATTACAAACATCAATAGAAAGCAAAGCAGTATGACGCTCTGAGGTTTCCGCAGCCGTCTGTGCTGCTGTATGGCCCAACGCTGCCGTTCTGGTCTGGATTGTGACACACATGAGCACATACGTACCCCCCAACCAAAGTGGTGAGGCGGAGTGACCTAACACCCTTTACAGCACAAGGTCACTAAATCAATTAGTCAATCAAAGGCAAATTAACTGTCTATTTTTATGATGTCTGATATTTTTATTCTTAAAAAAGGCACAACTCCAAATATTCCTTTGTCATCATATGTAGTCGCATTTTAGCAGATTTGCATCTTTTTTTCTGATTGAGGAAGTTATGAAAGGGATGTTTTGAGGGTTTCAACTTTTCATGAAAACGGGGAAATAAAAATGCCACTAAACATTTTGTCTAAAATGTTTGCCATTATAGAAGGAATCAGCCTAATCGATGATAATTTGTGGCTGTGTTGTATTATCCTCATTAAAGTGTTGTTTTTTTTAACTAAGTGAAATTATAAAACATTTTAAAAGCAACTTGCTCTATGACATCCAAAAAGATCCAACCCGCAACCTGTGATTGTTAGGGCTTCATATCTTTAAAGGATAGTTTGAGCAATAGCATTATGATATATATATATACAATATATATACATGAGCTTTTTTCATTTCATAAAAACAGCACGTCCAGGTGTGTCTCACTGTCAGATTCATCAAACTGACGAGCACCAACACAGATTTGTGAACAGTAATGCCAACACAGTCTTTGGACACAAAGGGGCCGGAGGGAGGGGGTCAGATGCGTCTCTCATAATCATGAACAGAAATTGAAAAACAAGATTAGAGAATTCAAGGCGAGCTCCAGTGCCAACATGCTCCTTTATATGACCTGGCATCACCTCTTTCTCTGTCCCCAGCCCTGATTCTCACAGCAGGGAGAAATCCCAGCTGTGTCGCTCAGCTGTGTCATAGCCTGATTTCTTCAGTAACGCTCCCCGACTTCCAGCGCCGCGACCATTCCAGAGCAGCTCTCCTCAGGCCCACTCCCTGCTGCTGCGGCCTGCCATCCCAGCCGTCACTTCCTGAGCGCACATGCATGAGGGAGCGTCCTGGGACCAGGCCTGGAGTTCAGATTTGCGTGTGAAAAAGTGTTTGATTTTGCCGTTGACACAACCGTGGCACTGCAATGGAACTAGCCTGTCACGGCCGAAAATAGCTCATAATCAATCAACTGGCAGACATATCTGTGCTCTTAAAACGTATAAATGTGCAGAGGGCGGATCAATGGGTGACAGGATTCCAAAAGCATCGATATGGACATGCTCTTTGGCATAACAAGCTCTCGCCATCGGCCTGTACTTATTTCCTGTGCCTCTATTCAATGGGCCAGCCAGGGTTAGGCCTGCTGGAAAAAATATCTGCAATGGAACAAGGTCTGTGAAGGACAACGCAGATGAAAAGGCAGACATATATCATCTGTCTGCACCAAATCTTAAATGTGACAAACAGTATATCTAACAAATTATCATCCGGCGAGATTTCTATTTGCCGTTTCACAAAAACAGAAGTTTGACTGTTAACAAGTAAAGCTTCCGACTGCCAATCTCTTCCACCGGCAAACTTCCTCTTCTTTCGGCCTGAGTGACTACATCCTCACTCAAAGACAGGCCCTACTACACAAACAGAAATAAGTCCAAATTCAGCACAAACAGCAGCATAGGATGCATATGAGCATGGTAAAATGTTAAAGCCTCCTCAGCTCACTCAGTGTGAGGCTAAAAGCAGCTAGCGTTGACAAAAGAATAAAACACTGAACTATCGACTCGCAAACGTTCAAAAATAAACGTGCTATTACATAGTACATACAGTATGGCGAACCTTACTCCTTTCTTTTTAACCTAGTTGGCTGCTGGAGCCGTCTAACGCCGTTTCCAGTCTAGGTGAGCGGTCATAACAACAATGCATGTCCTGTGCATGTGTGGTTCTTTACACACAGACAGCTCTGCTGCCAGGTGGGACACGGTATCTGCTAATGCCCTCCATCCTCAGGGTTCATTCACAGGTTAAAACAGAGACGTAGGAAGTGAAAGGCCATGCTGTCTGACGACGGCCAGACTTGGTTTCCTCCAGACGGATACAGAGGTTTCAGTATTTAGATTTTTCAATCCCAAATTTGTGAGCCCACTTCACAACAACACTGACAGACTTACAATCATGATGAACAAACAAAATTGAACGTTTTTTTTTTCTGACCAAACAGAAAAACTGCCCACCAGCCCTTAACCAATCACAAGCTGTGATGTAATGGCCAGAGAGGCAGTGATAGGAAGAGAGAAAGAAGGACAGGAGAGAGAAAAGGGAGAGAGAGAGGGGGGGAAAAAATCAAATGAGGAAAAACTAATGCTGAAGCGTCAGCTTTTTGGCAGTATTTTAAGATTTTGAAAGCCAGATGCAAGAATGAAACAAAAGCAGAGCACCTAAGGTCAAAATCAGTGCAAACACCAGAAAACACACTGGAACCGCTTCTACCGCGGAGAAATATCGCATGCCTTTCTTTGTCTTAATTTTACTGTGTTAATGTTTACTCATGTCACAGGACAACTGTGTTATCAGTGTTCCAGCAAGCCGCTCCAGCACTGATAAAAGTGATTTTAGTCACAATATAGAATACTCCTCCAGATTTCAACATTCAGAAGGCCAGTGCATTTACAGAGTTGTAACAAGGAAGTAATAAAGCGTTGAGATGTTTACGATACCCCAGTATTACATGATGTCATCGCGATACTGGAATACTGACTTAAGTAAACCCCAACTTGCTTTTTTACATATTGTGCAAAGACAGTGAATGCGTCTGACTAGCAAAGACAAACACAGGCTGTGGATTGTATCAGCTCCACCTTACAGATTCATGTGACTTTCCAACCATCACCTGACTTTCTCTCTCCTTTCTATGGCAGCTGCTTACAGGCACCAAAACCAGGGAAGAGTTGACCAAAAGTAAAATTTGTCTTTGTGGGTATTGAAAATATTAAAGACGGACAAAAAAAAAGTTAAGAAAAGAAAAGAGAAAGCTCAGGCATGTTTATGGAGATGCGACGCAACCTTTGTAAGATTTCTATGCTGCCTCCGTGAAAGACAGGCTCACAAAATAGCCAGCAACCAGCCAATATACCCGGCTGCTGATAAAGTGTGCCTTTGACCAAACACGCAGAGATAAAGTGAGCCAACCTTTGGGATAGGAGGGGACAACTTTCAGCGGGCTGCCCCTCCTGAGCCTGCACAATGTACATGTCCTCATATTTACGTGTGAATCAAGAGGGGAAGCAGAAGGGGAGCTCTATAATCAGCGGGTCACTTTGCATATCCAAACTTCCTTTTACAGGCAACAGAGGGCCTTCCACCGTGTCCAAGGTCCTGCAGGAGCCCTCCGTGCACAGAGTCATCAATGTCTGCACCTTGCCACAGAGCACTTATCAGTATTTCCCAACTGCGGTATCTAAAGAGCAATTGTATCAAGAAAAACCTCAACCCAGATGATAGTCAAACTGAAATCATGACCCAGATAGATTCTGTCCACCATGCCCCGCTGCAAAAGGAAACTGGCGTCAGCAATAGCATCATCTTTGCATCAATAAAATAGTTCCAATGACATCGGGGCGGACATTTCAACTCAGGTGCGATCGGGTTTTGCATGTTGCCATGGAGATATGTCAAACACGATGGCGTGAGGAGATATGTATAATTTTCCAACGACAATTGTTGCTTGACTTGCCACACCCAGGGTAAACATATCTCAGCTATATTCGCATATGACCTGACACCAGCACTCACCGCATAGGTTTCACCTCAAACAGGACACAAAGAGGACAAACAGAGCGAGCTGGTAACTATAGCTTGTAGGGTAAAAAAAGTTAAGTCTTGTTTTCCCATTCTTTGGGGCTTTGTGCTGTGCAAACAGCCGGATTCAGGAAACATGGGCCATTAAGGCTGGATATTATACCATCATAAAGTAGAAAATTGTATGTTTAAAACTCACTATTGTGCGCAGTCGATGAGCTGGTATTCATTGGACCTCTCAAAGCATGCTTTCACTCCTTCGTCGTCCCACAGCTTCTTTGCATGATCAAAGAACTCCTGTGGAAAAAGAATATAACGTTAAGAACCAACAACACATAATAAATCCAGTTAAGAACACCACGTGCACACAAACTTGCAACAGATTCCTTTCGCAACCGCAAAAAAATAAAAAAAATCTGAATTTTAGAGTTAAAACGTAGAGAAAAGAATTACAATTTCCCCTCTGTGGGATCAATAACATTTTGTATTCTATATTCAAACAGTATTTTGATATTTTCGGAAATTCCTGTCATTTTCAATTTGCTCTGCTAAGCTGTGGGCCCGCTCAACAGTCATAGCACATGGCAAGTTCGTTAAAACAGGCATTTACAAGCAGAGTACAACTACCGAACTGTTCCTTTTTTTATGCTCAGTGTTCCGTTACTACTTTGATCATTTGATCACAATGATGGCGTTAAGTGATCGTTCTGCACGTAACCCAAAACCCGGCAAACGTGATTAATTCACAAAACATTGATAATAAGATGATCAGTCGTGTCAATAAATAAATGAATGCATCAGAAAAAGTAGTTTCTTCAAGTCATTAAACCCCTGCCGACACCTGACGGCAGCAGGACTGACATGCTGAGAAATCTGCAGGCTCTGAATGCAGAAGTGCTGAGCTGGGACATACTGCCTCCACAGATGATAATCCACCCTCAGTAAATCACCTGGAAATGACACCAGGGAGCTTCAAAATAACCAAACACACAAAGCAGACGTCTGATATCCAACCACATTCTTCCTTTAAACTGTATTGATCAAAAAAGATGATTATCTGTTTCTTTATTCTACGGGCCAAACGTTTCACGCTGTATTATAACCCGTACAGTAGAACTGAAACTGAATTGTAATGTAATGATGCCTCGTAAAATAGTTTGATTTGAATCAAGCTGCCGAAAAAGCGTTAAAAATTCACACCATGTGGTCGCAGAGTTAAGGGGTTTTGGGTTCACGACAACTATATCATTACTGTGATCGCCTCGGCCTCTTACAGGAAAATGAGAATTTCACTGATCGCGCTTCCTTCCAGGTTATCTCCCATTATTCCCTTTCCATATTGTGAAGAGCGTATCCACTTTTCTTCAGACAGGGGGATTTAGAGTTATACACAGTTTGTTCCACACACAAAAACTTCAGCCCGAGCAAACAAATTTGTTCAAGTGCTGGTTACAAGGTCTTAAAAATACCAGGCAAAAGCACCACGACCGGCAGGGGCAGAAGACCTAGCAGAGTACCTCACTCAACAGGTGTGATACACAGATTAATATCAACAAATCAGCAGCTCCACGTAGCTTCTCAAGAGTTTTTCCCATATTTGATCAAACCAGCTTAGAGCAAAACCTCAACAAATTGTTAGGGAGCATCCAAACTACACATTTTTCTAATGTAGAGAATTAAATAAATGCTATATAATTATTTACCCTTATAAACCAAATATGTGTTGATAGTTTCACAAATGAATTATTTTAAGAGGCAAACCTAAATTTTATATCATCAATTCATTCCATAAAAAGTCTTTGCCCCCCAGTATTTCAGTATTTCTTCTGCTCTAATGTATAAATTCTGCACCTCATTAACAGTCTGATTCAAAGCCTTATTTCTCTGATACAGCAATAAATATGTTCATTACACACCCTAAATGATAGAAATATAAACTATCCTCCCACTGTGCAAAAATTATCCATAGGCACAAAGCTGAAAGTAACTATACATAGTTTTAGTGCTTCAGCTGACTTCCTGTTACTTGACAAAGGAGAGCATTATGAGGGGAGCTGGTCTCATCAATGACTTTAAGACATTTCCCAGGACTCTCTGTATGCCCTAAACAACGATGACTGGGCTAACATCCCACGTCGGCTCCCGTGAACACGTCTTTCAGAAGGGCCCCTCCTCTACCCTGGCACTACCACATGACTCACTGCACTCGGCACTGGCTGCGCTCCGACTTGGGAGAGAGGCTGAAAGTAGCCCCGAACCAGAGAGAGGGAAGAAGGAGGCTGATAAATGTTCACATGCTCCGGGAGATCTCCTCTCGGCAGATCCGGTGATTAAGTTCAACATGGAGAAAAACCCTCTGATCCAGCCATTGCAAGTCTCATAAAAAGACATTAAAACATATTTACTCTTTGGGTTTAAAACCGACTGCCACACTTCAGGCACAAATTGGGTAGAGCGTCAACACTTTTCATGCTACCACGTCACAATACAACTGCTGGTTAGTGTCCTCCAACAAAGCTTTTTACCTGCAGTGCTGAACTCATGATCAACAAACAAATGGGGCTTTATTTGCTTTCTTGACTTTATTTGCTTCCCCTTCAGCTGCAGTCAAACTTTAACCGCTAAAATCAGCAAGATTCAACATCACCGATCACACTCCACTGCTTACAGTTGTGTGGGTCTTTTAAGATTTATACAGAAGCAGACATCGAGGGGCTCCGAGCCCTAAAGAAAGGCCCAACTGGACTGGTTCAGGCTTGGTGGAGCGAGGATGAGGAGTAGAGGGTGGAAGGGGCAAGTGGGGGGAGGGGGGGGGGGGGCAAGTATGGTCCTCAGGGCTCTTTTCCACAGAGGCGTGTGACACTGGGCCTTTGAATAAATGTAGTGTGCTGCAGTGCCCTACAGAGGAACTGATAACACAGAAAGAGACCAGGAGGGAATTTGCTTTGATGCAACTTATTTTTTTCCCTCTCTCTCTCTCTTTCTGAAACTCTTTGCCATGTCTTCTCTGCCCATTTCCACTCCCACTTTCATCCAAAGCCATGAGATGCTGATTTTCATTTGGTTCTGTAAGAACCAACCCGCGTGTCGGCCCGTTTTTAATCGAGTAAGGTTTGTGATGTAATGTTAATTGAACCATATAGGTCAAGCTGCCACTGAACAAAATGGCTTAGATTTAATTCAACTTGTCTAAACAATGCTGTGGAGCAAATGGCTCACATCCTCGGCCTCGGAAGAGTTGCGTCTCGCAGAGACATTTGAACTTTAATGTACAGAAACTGCCAATAACTTCTAAAGCCGTCCCATAAACAGCTAAACACACAACCTGCTCACTGCTCAGGAAACCATCTTCATCTCATTTATTGGACTTGAATAGTTTATCAGTGACAGATAACAGTCACCCGACATGACAGGACATGACTCTTGTGGGTTATTTCAGTTAAAGATTACTGAAAAATCCTGCTTCGAAATATGAAAAGGACAAGGAGAGAGCGAGCGCCTGCTCCAGACTGTTCATCTTTTATAACACGGTTCCAAATATGGATCAGCCCTCCATGCCACCCTTTGGCCCATTTCAGGTATCCTCAAGTAATCAATTAGAGGAAAAACAAACTTCTAGGACTCAAAATGTTCCACATGAGGAAATCCCTAATAAGTTAACAACAAAGGAATGCTGAAAAGGTGTTAGACTGGACAAATGTAGTTGGAAACACGGGGGCCACATTTCCTAAATGAACGAAAGATTATAGCAGAAACTTGCAACAAGCCATCTGATATAACAAGAGGAAAAACTTTTGTGGGGCAAGTCGTGGCCTTCTTGACTAGGGTACACACAAGCAACATAAACAAGTTTGAAATTATACTCTGTTACAGAGGCGAGCTTGTTCTAGAAGAAAGCGGAGAGCATTAAACATGTAGGCAACACATCTGAGAGGAAGAACGTGGTGAAACAACAGTGCCGAGGCTCATTTGAATTTGCTTCAATTGACAGACACCGTTGAGTGGCTAATGTTGCTACAGCGGTGGCATTTGTTTCCATTTGCATAGACGGCTGCTCGCACCGGTGTTTTCATGGGTTTACCGTCGTGCCAATAGCTGTAGGAAAACAGTTCTGAAAAAGGGAAGTTTTACCAATGAAGACCAGCCGACCATCAACACAAGCATGTGAACGTACGCATCGCACGCCGGGAAAAGATTTGTCCCACTGAATTTTGATGATTAATAAAAGCTAATCCAAGCTATTTCGACTTAAGACCATCACCTGTTTAATATCTGGACTCTATGCATCCAAATCATTCCTGTACAACATATGCCAATTATATACGACGTCCGGTTTTTACCAAAACATACCCAACAATTTGCTCTCCATGGCAAAGTTTTCACTTTTTATGGCATGTGATGGGCTGAAATATATGGCTAAGGCACTGATTAAAACACCTATTGACACTAATGACTGAAACGGCTGCAGCTCTGTACAGAATGTAGGTTTGGTACGTGACAATCCAATCGCTCAAACTCTTCACCCACATACTTACACAGAAAGACATTCAGTGAAACCTACAGAGTTGCACATTGTCTGCTCCCTCTTATCCATTCTGACACCTTATCACCAAACATGACATCATCCATCCAGAATTTTCCCGGCAAAATATCCCAGCGCGTTTCAAAACGGCGCCGGCTGATGAAAGCCACAGGTTAGCGATTGGCCGTGTTCCTGCCCTGATGTATTGGATATCATGCCTGGTGGCACTAAGTGACAATGTAGTGGTGACACTGACGGCACAAGCGGAGCCCGAGACCGATGACAAGCACAGGCGCTCAAAACAGAGCCATGTTGTTCCCTTCGGCTGGGCCGGGCCTGGGAACGCGCCGGCGGCTCTCCCCACGGCCCCGGCCCTCACACAACGCATCCCAGCAGCGCGGGCCACAGCAGCTCTGGAAGGAAATTAACACCAAACTGCTTCTAATGGCTACTCTTGTGATGCAAAGTTAAATAAAGCTGCTGAGAGAGAGGCTGGAAAACAACAGGCCAAGATGTAAGGCTGGTAGTGCAGAAACCGTAATGCCTCCACAACAAAGCACTGCTGAATAAAGCCACTGTATGGACGATGTTAATATCTGAAGAACTTAGATATTAAACAGTAGCTCAACATTTGCTTCATTTGTAGCCTTGGTGAGATATATATACATGTGTATATGAAAAAGAGTCCACAACTCAGAAAAGAAGCATACTGTCCCTCGAGTGAAGCTGAAACTTCTAGGTATTTTCTTCTAAAAGTCATTCAAATAACTTATCAAAGATTTTAAAAAGTGTTACCGACAATCTATGTTAAGCACTAAAAACTAGCATTTCCAGTCATGTCTGGGATGTTTTTGTTTTCTCAACAACATAAACAGAATGAAAAGGAGTTGGTTCGCACAGCAAACAGAGATGAACCCCGGGTTTCATTAACACAAAGAGCCATCTTAAAATCAGGGATCAACTCCGATAAATGTGCTAAAATAAAAACGTCCAAACTTCCATCAGCCCATCTGTAGTTCTGTATCAATTTGTCATTTTGGCTGTGTGGTGCTGTACAACCAGTGTCAAACAAGGAAGACTTTCAGAATTATGTAAAACTTTATCTACATTTCCAACACATGACCTCCTGCTATCGAATAGCTGATCACACTGAAAAGAATCCCATGTGCCCTGTGTCGCATTCAAATCCACATATAGTGCAACAAACTCCAGCCTCAACAAAGCCTGAAGCCCCTCATTAGGAATCTGTCATTTTCACTTTCTAAACGTTAAACTCCTCCAAAGCAAAGAAAAAGGTGTTTTGAAAAACAAAAGCCCGTCTGTCGCAGCAGAAAATGCAGTGGAAAGCAACGACGGGCCTAAAGGTAACTTGCAGCAGGCAAACCTGAGCTGTATCACCAAGATCTACACAGTCGGACATACCCGAACGCTCACGTGCCCCAAACACACACACACACACTCAGAAAAGAAAAATGCATGTTCACTGCGCAAGGCGTCCACACCAACAGAAACTTTCACTTACCTGCGAGTAGTCGAAGTCAGAGAGTGGTGCTATACTTTTGATGTATTCGATTCTGAATTGGTCCTCTGGATTGGCTAGCGGGACTGGGGGTATTAAAGTGCTCATCGCAGACACTATAGTCTACAAAGCAGAATTTTCAGGAGAGAGAGAAAGAGAGAGAGAAAAAAAGAAACAAGCATTAAGCAGGATGAATACAGGAAAAATAAATAAATAAACAAATGCTAAGTATGTATAATAATCAGTAAAATGGGACGGCTGTGGACTGAGTCACTGAGCACATTTTGGAGGTGAAGCGAATCAAACTCACCACTATGGCATCCTTCACGTTTTTCCGAATATCTTGGACTTTCTGTTTCTTTTCTCTGCGTGGGGACAGAAAAGAAGAGTGAGGCGGCGAAATTAGGACAGTTTGATGGTCAGTGGTAGAGCCTGGGTAAACTGAGTTTATATACAGAGAAGGGATCCAGTTTCTGATGAACACTTACGATCTAAACGTGAATCTAGGAGGAAACCGCATCAAAGTGCTTAATTATATGATCTTACTAAGAGGCCATAACGTCTCGACTTTTTGCAACTTTTTGATTTTCCCACTGGACACGCAGAGGTACTGCAGATCTGAGAGCGTAGCAGTCTGAATTTTCTCTCAGTGCCACTTTAAGGAAGTAATCGCAAAGCACAATCTATTACGAGTAGCTGCTTTATTTTCGTGTAAAGGTCAGAATACATTTGCATGTGTTTCTTCACACCAGTCAAAGCTCAGCATTTACACCCCACCTCGCTCCCTGCAGCGGCAACTCGAGCCGTTGGATTGGGTCGTCAACCCACTATCCAGACTACACCATGAGCATGCCTGGCTAAAGTCTGCTCTACCTCCAACAAGTTGTTCCTTTTTCAAATTTTGGTTCATGGCCGACTGAAATGGGATTTATACATCTGAGGTGTCCAAGCTCAAAACTGGACTTTCGCAGTTCGTGCCGAGCAAGTTCTTCACGTCCAGAATCTTTAATGAAATTAGCGGAACCACAAACGTTTACAGCAAAAGTTTACCTCGAATCCATAACGGTTTAGGATAACAGGCCGCGGGAGGGCAGCTTAAAGCCAAACGTAAAGGCAGATCTTAAACCTTAACCCGGTGAGAACACACCTCATATTCAATAGGCCATACTGCCCCACCTGAATCTAGAAACGAAGAGTATTTTCACACAGCACAGGACTCTTGACATGTTCTAGGCCTGTTTGAAACAGACCACTGTTAAGATCAATGCCATGCGAGGCCTGGCAGCCAAACAAATCATCAATAGGCCTGTGTCGATCACAGCCTGTCACTCTCCCACATGAGACCAGAAACACGGAATTCTTTGCCCTGTGCATAGCACTGACATCCTCACATATGGCTGACAAATGCACACGAAAAGGAGAGGAAGGAGATATTAGCTGCTTTGCATGGGATACTGGGCCCAACAGGCGCTGCAGTGCCTGGGGAAAATCCATTCACAGGCTGTACTCTGGCCTCGGCAGTGTTATTCATTAGGAGGGAAGCCATAAAAACAGGCAATAACGTTATTTTTGGGCCGCTAATGTTGCCGTTTAATAAGCACATTGAATAGCACTCACTCTGCGTTGAAGCCGTTGACGTGTAGAATCCTCATCTGCTTCACAATGGTGCTTTTTCCGGACTCTCCCGCACCTTCGAAAACACACCAGGAAAAAAAAAAACACACAAAATACATCACCAAATGACCACAAACTGGGACATCCCAGTCAGCGATGACCCGGGCCCCCACCCTCCCCGCCCCCCCGCCGGAAAAAAAAATAAAAAATAAAAACGTTTAACAAACGAAGCCAGTTAATTGTAGGCTCTGGAGCTTTGCTTCCATCAATATCCACCCCCATGACATATTATTGCAAGCGCTGTCAAATGGGGCTACGTGTTCGGTAAACGAAAGGGATTACGGTTAGCTTACATTTCAGATAGCCATCACGTCCAAATCAACCTTACCCAGTAATAAGAGCCTGTGTGTGGCTTTATACGCTTGTCTTTCCTTTTGCAGCTGTTTCTCTATCTTTTTATTAGCTTCTCGTTGTGCCTTTTCGTCGATGCGTTGATCTTCAGTCTTGCTGTTGCCCAAACAACCCATCTTCCGTCGCCCTAACCCTTCCTTGTGGAATCGTAAAAAAATACAAAAATGACACCTGGGACGATATCGTGGCTTAAAAATAACACTCAGAATGTGCCGACTGTCAAATAAAAAGGGGGGGAAAGAAAATCTTAGCGAGGCTTCTCCGTCGGAGGGAGGAATATGTTCCCCGTTACAATTCCGCTTCAGCCGCAGCCAACCGTCATCCGAACCGACGAAGAATAACGACTCGCTTCTACGGAGAAATATCAAAAATAGACATAAATAAGAAGAGAGAGGGGGGGGATTTCAATTTCTGGGAATCCAGTCAAATGTTCCTATCGCGTCTCCAGCCCCTCTCCTCTCTCAATGTTTTTTCTTTTTTTTTCTATCTGAATTTATATCAGTATTTCTGTCTCTTTAACTCAGCACTGCCTCTCTCTGTGGCACCAGGAAGTAGCCGTAGACCGTGGAGGTGGAAAACAAACCTTCGTTAAACTGTAACGCTAACTACCCGCGCTCAAATACCATTTTCTAACTCGCGTGGTAAAGAGAAAGAGGCCATTCCCGTTTCGGTCCCTCGGTGTCCCGGTATCAAACTAATCAGCCGAAGGGGTGGAAGCCCGGACGCCTCTCTGCTGCTTTGCAATAGGGGCTGGGTCTCTACTTGTTGGCTTCCAGTCTGTGAGATGGCCCTGACCCAAACTGGCAACCCATTTACAATATCCGTGTGTGCGCTGGGTTCCACCTTTAAAACTGCCAAGGTATCGTAGTGCTCCTGATCCCCCCGAAACATTTAAATAAGTCTATTTAAAGTGAATTTTGAATATTTTTACAATGAATAACTCAACAGTAGGCAGACATAGTTGTGTAGTAGCTCAACAAAATGGTTCCTGTCCTAAGTTACTACTATCATTTAGTGAATAATGTATTTAAGAACATGTCATTCTACAGTAAATGCTGTTCTTAAAACCCATTTAGTGGTATTTTACCCATTATAATATAACCTTATTTAATACTTTAGAGGTACATAACAAACACATGCTGTTTTTTTAACTAAACACTGTAAAAATGAAGAAATCAACATGATATAAAGTACTGAAATGTATCCTGCTAGAACAGCCAATTACTCCACATTTACGCCTTCATGCCATAATTTATGGCATCCAAGTGAAAACATTTCTGTTTGTATTTGTTGTATTTATGTTTATCTAAAAGAATTTAATGAAATGTGAAATAACTATTACTTAACTAGTCCTGCATCTAAGATATTTCTTAGCAGAATATCAGAAAGTTATGAATTACCAGCATCTTAATGCACTTAAAGAACCATCATTTACCTAAATCTTAATTAGTTAAGATTAATTTGACGATGGTTTACTGTAGCTGCTGCTAAGGAAGAAGTTTCAACAGCATGAGGCGGGCCCTGCCAGAAGGGCTCCAAACGGCATTAGTGGAGCATCGGTGAATGGAAGTAAGGAACTATGTCATTAACTAAGAAAACAAATACAGATATGGTTGCAATGGCTGCAAGAATATGAGGTTATCCTGGCTCACCTGATTAGTGCAAATGAGGGGAAACAACACAGTCAAAACCCCTAGAAGTATATAATATTAGTTTACTGTCGTATACCTTAAGACCCCTGCCTCATACACACTACAAGGTAGTTTTAAATGTGGAGCATTAATGCAGCCGTATCTCATCTAAACCAAAGTCATTTTGAATCAGATGTTTCATTCGGATTGACAACTTTTCATCAGTTAACTGAAGTAATCAACTAAATATGGTTGAGCAAAAAGTGAAAAATTGATATAATTAGTAGCAGTAAAATACTGAAATACAAGATCCTCATATATGCACAAAGGTAGAAAAGGTGAATAAATGTCAAAATTCTGCTGTCCCAGTGTGAAAGAAGCCTTTTAAACGGCCACATTTTCGTCCGTAACAACATTTCTTCATTTATCTGTGATCATAAATATTTTAAAAATGCAAGGTTTGGTAAAACCTGCATATACGATCTAAACGAAACAAGTCCTGAGCAGTAAAGCACCAGAAGTCTGCGCACTCACAACTATTTTTCACCATTTCATGTGAAACTGCATTTTAACTTTCTAATAAAATCAACAAATGTACCTTCTACTTGCAAAGAAGTGCAATATCTGTAAAAGCAAAGTAAAGAATTGCCCCTTTTAGAGTGTGTAAATTAAACATATTACTACAGTAACACACAGATTTTACCGTTGGAGCTGTTTTTAGGCAGATTTGTATAATGTATGTCACTAAATTTCTGTCCAAAGTAGGAATGGATGTTGCAGAGGACAACAATTTCCTTGTAGCGCTCATTAAGTAAACATTATTAGTTGAAAAACTTATGCACAACTACAAATGACTGTTCTGGGGCTCCTTGAAAGTCTGCCTAGTCAAGATCATGAGAAGATTTCGTTTGGCTATATTGTTGTTTAAAAGCAATGTAGAAAAAAAAAACATTTCTACATGTTGAGTGAGAAGTAAAAGGGGTATGCTGAGTTGAATCTTACTTTACATAACCAGACACACAAAAATCCCTTAATTTCTAAAAGCTAAAACACTGTAACATGAGGCAACATTTCAATAGTCTATAAGGAGACATTTAAAATCAACTGCCAAACACCAGAAATGACTGTGAATCCCTTTGTATGTGTGTACACTGTGATGGGCTGCATACAGTGTACCCTGCCTCTGGTCTAATACCAGCTGGGATGGGCTCCCTGAGACCCTAATAGAAATAACCAGTTATAGAGAAGGCGTGGATTAAGTTACCCAAGAATATAAATTACAGGTAAAGGTCTTTGCCGTGTATCGTACTTTAACCAAATATAGTTTCCACATTTGTTCAAGTAATATTGGTCATAGTATGTTGCTAAAATGAATTGAGTATCTTTCACTTTTGTATTAAAAACAATACAATAACAAGTGCTATTTATAATTCACTTTTTTCATTTTGACTAACTTCCCCTCTGCATAACCTCAAAAGAGGATTCAGAAAAAGCGTCCTGAGGAGTTAAAGTGTTACACTGGTCAAACTGGCGGAAGAAAAATTTGGAAAAACAAAACTGGTTAGGGCCCATTGTTTTGCATAATCCAACACCATCACACGCGTGGCTTGGATTCAGAGCTTCACCAAACTTCCAAAAGTCCTTAACTTTTCCTTTGTCGAGTGAACAAAAGTCAGAAGTTATACAAGCGGAAACCCAAACTCCTAAGACCCACACAGAGCATGATTCTTCTGCTAAAGGAGCTGTGGCACCAGGGGACATAAAACTGTCATTTAGATCTTTTACATCACCATAAAGATGTAATCAACCCAACCACAAAATACAAAGTCCAAAGAACAGAGCACATGAATATGTTAATAATACCTTATGCAATGAAAAAAGAAATAGCCCATATGCATTTTACTGTACGAAATTCCAAAATGAGCTCATAGTCTAAATGGGATGTTTGCTTGGAGCACAGTTAACACACCTGCCCAGCATGCTGTGTGCCCCACCTTAACAAATAGAAAAAGATGTTCAGGATAAATAATTGCTCTGCACAATTCCCTATTTACTCATAAATATTTACCTGCCAATCCAACTAAACAGATCACCCATCATTCATAGCCCACCACAGTATGATGGACCCGTGTCAAGAACTGTCCAATGTTTTTTTTCCTTTCCATTTTTAATTTAAGGAGCTCACTCTTGAAGAGAGATGAATACTTTGTATTTTTCTATCAAAAGAATATGATGGTATTATCTTTTTCAGGCAAATACAATGCAAAAACTAGTTTCCTGGAATAGAATGACTGGAACATGCAAATACACCTTCAAACACAGAGTTCGGCTATAGCTATGTGACAATAACGCCACTATGTGAGAACCTGTCACCAAAAGAGAGAATAATCTTGTCTCCCCACCTCAAAAAGCAAGGTCAAAACGAGTGGCTGATCCACACCACCCTCTACTGGTCACAGTCGGAACTGCAGCCATGCCTGGGGCCATGTCAGCTCCTTATGAATGATACACAAGTAGGTTTTGCTGCATAAATTATTGTCCTTATAAGGAAACACTGTCTGATATTTATATTTAGCCTGCTGTGGTGTCCTCTTAACTAGATTAAATGCTTTGCCATTAATCATTTATTTATCTATTTAAATTCTCTAATTTTCCCCCCCTCACCACTTTTTTAAAATTTCTAGCTTCATGTGGAATTTGACGCTCATTCTGCTGAGTTTGACAAAAATGTCAAAATGAAAGGAAGTTTCAATATAATTTCATCATAAAAGTAGTTTACTAAATATCATAAGCTGAACATGTAATGTCATTAGTAGAACAGCTGACAGCCTATTGAAAGACAAAGATACAATATGCTGAGGATGTTAAAATCAAGTGCTTTAATTAGACCAACAATGCATGCTAATTTTGATATCTATTTGAAAAAACTTGGAAATGCTGCAAAACAAAACCATTTTTAAAAAACACGACAGAAGAGGGGCAGATTGAACTACAAAGAATTTGGGTATGTCATTGTCTTCCTCCAAAAGTTAACACTTCACCATTTAACAGAAACATATTCAAGCCAGATCCAGAACTGTCGCCTCATATTGGCCCGAGTCCAATTAACACAGACTGAGCAGAAGTAGAAACAGATCCGGTGTTCCGATGAATCCAAATCAGAAATTCTAGCAGCATATTTCACCTGCGTCTTAAAGGGAAAACCAGCAGCTGAGATGGTACTGAGGTGCTATAGTGCAGCTTTTACCTTGAATCGCTACATTACTGAACAATATATCCAAAAACGCCATGCTTCCCTGGGAGGTTGGCGCTCACTTTAGCAAGTAATGCAAACCAAAGTCTACTCACACTATTTCAACTAAAACATTACAAGTATGGGGAGACGTTTGGGAGGATATAAGAAGTGATGCACAAGCAAGGTAACCATCATCCAATAGGAGAGGATAATACCTAACAAGCTTAACAAGCACATATTTTCATATATATCTGATATAAC